AAAAAACAGAGATTATGGAATTAAACAAATAAATAAAAACAAGGATAATTGTGTGTTATTGGTGAGTAAATAACAGTGTGTTATTTTGAAAAGAATAACAAATTAGAAGGAAAAAAAGATTTACATATATACAGATTTCAGTATCCTGAGGCTCTCAGCCCCATTTATTTTCCTCACAGACGGCAACAAAAGTCCGAAATTATACGATTAAAAATAAAACCAATAATTGTGGCTTGATATTGAGTAAGAACATGCTTTTATGAACCACACAGCTTCCGGTCTTCCGATAACACGTAATGTCGTGAGACTACCAATAGAAATACATTGCTTTTAAAATCGTGCTGTGCAACACGAAAAAAAGGGGGAAATCCCGTTGGTGAACACGAATCAATAGATTAAAAATCGTGTTGCTGAACACGAAATGCCGTGAGACTGGGTTGGCTAATAACAACAAAGTTATTGACTCTATGATCAGTATGACAGATGAACAGATCGCCACTGGGCTTACAACTAAAGACACAGCCACGCAAAAACTGTGGCATGTGTACGGCTCCTTATGGGTTCTTCAATTTGAAATACCAATGATTAAGCATATCGTACAAGAAGCTAATCATTTCCATTTATCTTACGGTAAGACAACAATGCAAAAATGATCGAGGTCTTGTCCACAGATCATACGGTGACTCAATGACGTTATCGTGTCAGATCTACAGGACGTTATTCAGTGAAGGATTGCGTTGTTGTCCTAGCAGTCCTTTGTTTTGTTTTTGTTGTGACACCAGGGCGAGTTCCTGAATTACGACATATTGCTGGGTGTCAACCAAGGAGAGGGACTGAAATTTGTGGACGACAGTGAAGGAGAAGACGGAATATCATCAGCTACGTTTGACTACACCATCTCCAACTTTGTGGACAATCTGTATGGATTCCCTGACGGTCAGAGCCTTCGCTGCTATTTTACCTTAAACATGTTATTAATTTAATATTCAAATCGTGCACATGTTGTTAGCCTCTACAGCAATGAAAAGTACTTCAAACTACAATGAAAAAGGCAGAGCTACATTTCTTTTCCTGCTCTATGACAGGAAGTTGAAGGCACCACTGTGGAGATGACATAGATTTACAATAAAATTACTTATATTAAGTTATATTTAACCCTTTAATCCTGTCACCTAATGTTGCACTGCGTACATACTCACGTTCCATTTTCATTTTTTCCAAGGTAAAGACATCCTCAGGGAAACCATAAAGTTCATGTACACAGACTGGGCTGACCGGGACAATACTGACATGCGCAGGAAGACCCTCCTGGCTCTGTTCACAGACCACCAGTGGGTGGCCCCGGCCGTTGCCACTGCCAAGCTGCACGCCGAGTTCCAGTCGCCCGTCTATTTCTACACCTTCCACCACCACTGTCAGACGGAGGCCCGGCCGGAGTGGGCCGACGCTGCTCACGGAGATGAGATCCCCTATGTGTTTGGGATCCCCATGGTGGGAGCCACTGACCTGTTCCCCTGCAACTTCTCCAAGAACGATGTCATGCTCAGTGCTGTAGTCATGACCTACTGGACCAACTTCGCCAAGACAGGGTTAGTATGGTGCCAAACTAAAAAAATATATTAATTAATCTGATATTAGGTGCATTTAGTACAGCACAGTGTGTACTGTATCAACAAGCTCACATGCTGCAGGATACTCAAGTCTAATGTCTCCCTAGCCAAGTTCCCAACTGTGGGCACATGTTTAGGCTGCTAAAGGAGAATATAAAGTTGGTGTTGGGTTTTGATTTGGAGATATTCTCAATGATGTGATTATCTGTTGAGCTTTTGAAAATATTGTGGTTTAAAACATTTGGGTTGGGAGTGATATGATATGCAACACCTGTATGGAGCTCATTTCCTTCCAAACTTAAAGGGGCCCTGTTTTGCTTTTAGGGGTTTTCCCTGTGTGTGATAAAGAGATTTTGTGAATGGTCTACAAAGGCTCAAGTTTTTATCGCTACATGATATCCCTACGCTCTGAGGTCATCATCTATGTGAGCTGCCTGCATCTCCCTATAGGCCTACTTGCAACTTAAATTACGTACACAGGCTCTCTTTTCCAATCATAGGCCTATATAAGTATACTTATGTAGACACTAGGGATGACTTGATTTATTTCTTGATATTTGCCTTTTGGATTGCCTTTGACCTACAGAGACCTGCAATCGATCAGAAAATAAGATCCGATTGGCAAATGGCAGTGGCCGATGTTTATCTGTCTGAAACATCACTCTTGCACCGGGTAAAGCTTGTTTCAGTTAGTTCGCTTTTACTCAGTTAGTTTCCAGCTGCAGAATCTTAGAAGAAGCTACTGACTGGACCCGACTGACACAGAAGTGCTAAAGGTGCTGGCGTGTTTCAGACAAGCGGTTTGTTTACAAATACAGCCCCACTCGGATATTGAACAAATAATCACCTCGCTTATTCACAGACAAACTGAAACCAACAATGTACATTTTATTACTGCTTGACAAGTTGCCCGTCTACACTACAGGCATCAAAAAATCTTGAAGCTGGGCGTGTCTGACGCTTGGCAATTTTTTGCGAGCAACGCGACCAACAACCAATCACATGAATCTCCCGCCCCCGACATACAAAGCAATAGCAATGTTAAAACGAAGTAAACTGGATATAAACTTTCTCTGCCACCTCCCTCCATGCCTGGTTCCTCCGGTTTGTATCCCGGTAAATAGTTCTGGTCGTAAAGAACCGGGTGATTTGCTACCGTAATATCTCGTTTGGAATATGAGGAAATGGACTGTCTCTGTCTCTCCCAGCTTGCACGCGGTTTGATTGGCTAGCGCTTGCACTGGCGGGATTTGCATAAACGGGATTTGATTGGCTGATGCCAAGCATCGAGCCTCAAAAGTTGAACATTGTTCAACTTTTGATGCCGATAGATGCTCGTGATGCTTGCAAAGCCATGCCATGCTCCCCACAATGCAGTTGGGCGAAGATTAAAAATCTTCTACGTCACCCCATTCAAGTGAATGGGCGAAGCGTTGAAAGCATTTTTCGATGCCTGTAGTGTAGACGGGCCGTAACTGTTTCAAAGTGATTGATAAACAATGGACGGCCCAAAGGTAGTAATTCAGTCAAAAACTGTGGGAGATTTTCACAAAGAAACCTGCCGCATTACTGCAACTAAGTTGGCAAGGCCATACCCCAATTTGACCTTGTATTGTGATCTGGCAGGGGTCATTACATTAGTTCCTGACATCAACAGAAGATGTACAACCCACACATCAACATGGACCACAGCAAGTCATTTAGGAACATTCAAACTAAGAAGTATAAAATACAAGAATACAAGTTACAGTGCAGTGTGAGAAATACATTACTACAACATTTGTGGTGTTGAAAAAGGAATAATTAAACACTTTGGAATCTCAGTTGTAAGTGTCTTACAATTTAAAGAAAGACTATGGACCACTACTAAAAAACTGATTCAGTCCAAAACCGTAAAAATAATGCTTTGAAGAAATGGTCAGCAGTGATGTGTAATGTACAAAGTCTCCCATATGCTCTCCCTCTGCCTATCAAACGTCTCCGCAGACAGAGGAGGTCTTCAGCACCGGCGAGGGGAGGATCGGCTTGCTAGGAGAACGGAGAGAGGTGCCCCCCCCCCTCAGTTTGGGAGTGCGGTGGTGTTTGTTTTGATGACTGCTCTCTCTTTCCTCTTATAGACTCTCATCATCACTTATTTCACTAGAATGTAGAAACTGATGATGGTCGAACTGAAAGGATTAGTGAGAGTTTTCCCCTCAGTGCTGCTGAGTCACTGCTGAATGATATTTAGAGAGACAGTCGTCATTATCCCAGGGGTAAAGAGGTTAACTAGAAGAAACTCAATCATAATTGATTCGCTTTAAGGATTCAGAGTTGATGCGTAATTGTAAAATGTAATCCGAGAAGCAAATCAAAGAAGGGTTGGACAGTTGGATCTTTGAAAGGTTACATTACTTTGATGTCCTGGAGCTTTTGACCACTTTCCATTGCCTTCATCAAGGATGACCTTTACTAAGTTTTCTATTTGTTCAATATTTCCCCTTATATTCATTATTTAAGTGCTTTCAAGACTTAAACACTTTAACATTTAAACTTGAAAATTGCAGTTGACAAAACCATGTCCTCCCAAGGTCTTCCTACTTAGTTATTATAACAACTTGTGCAAAGCAGCCTATGTTTATTGTGTGTTTATTTGTCTGTGGGTGTTTCTCAATGTTGAGGAAATCTGCTCCAGAGCCACTATTTCAAGCATACTACGTCATCGAGTGCCGCCGAAGGACTGTTCCAATGTCCAGGATATTTGGAATTCTACCGAGGCCGGCGTACTTCGTAGCGATGGAGGCTGCACATGTGTAGACTCCGCGGTCTTAAAATCCCCACAATGCTTTGCGCACGGACCAATTTCCCCAAATCTGTGTCGGAAAATGTGAAGGCGCCTCTCATATGACGCACACCTGCACACTTGCTCGCCTGTTCCACTCTTTGTTTTCCGAAAGCCAGGAGGTATTCTTGCCTCGCTTCTGAAGCAAGACGCTCGGAAGACATGTGCTACCAAGCAAGCATACTCGACATTGAGAAACACCCACAGGCTCTTTTTCTCCCTCCGCGAGGTAAGCGTTTGCTCCTGCTGTATATCTCCCCGGTAGTCCACCAGCAGATGAAAAACACCCGCCTCTTCCAAGGAACGAGGGAACCGTGCGGCAGAGTTTCAGTTAGATTTTCTATCGCCGGTCAACATGTCCGTTAAAGTTTAAATCTTCCGGACAAAATTAGAAAAGTGCCGGTCAGATGTCTTCTTTGTTATTTATTGAGCTTTAAAACAAATGAATAACAACTCTATAAAATAATATAAGAATAAGAAACGGAGCCTCTCTTTTCCTCCCCCTCTTCTGACAGCCCAGCAGCTGATCTCTGAGCAGGAGAGGTGGGGAGAGGCGGGGCTATTGCGTCATCGTTATCAGCACATGATTGTATAGGTGTAAAAACGGAGCCGTTTGCCCCCCTAGAGCGTTTCGTTTGCAGATCACCTTTGGACCCGTTATCGTTTTCTGCGTTTCCGTTTCGGCCTCGTGTTGGCGAACCTTCTATCTGATACAGCAGTGGTTCTCAAACTTTTTTCAATAATGTACCCCCTTTGAAAAAAGATTCAGCCAAGTACCCCTTGATCAGCGCAAAAACAATTTGTTAAGGAAACAAAGCCTATATAAAGAGATATAGTACAGCACTGCACCATCAGTGTCTGATTTATTAAAACAACAACATTGTAACTGAGAAACACTTAAATGCTACATTTCAAATATTTACAATCCATCACTNTTCTCAATGTTGAGGAAATCTGCTACAGAGCCACTATTTCAAGCATACTACGTCATCGAGTGCCGCCGAAGTACTGTTCCAATGTCCAGGATACTTCGAATTCTACAGAGGCCGGCGTACTTCGTAGGGAGAAATTTTGAGGCTGCACATGTGTAGACTCCACGGTCTTAAAATCCCCACAATGCTTTGCACACGGACCAATTTCCCCAAATCTGTGGCGGAAAATGTAAGGCGGGGCCTCTCATGTGACGCACACCTGCACACTTGCTAGACTGTTCCACTCTTCGTTTTCCGAATGCCAGGAAGGATTCTTGCCTCGCTTCTGAAGCAAGTGACTCGGAAGACATGTGCTACCAAGCAAGCGTACTCGACATTGAGAAACACCCAGTGTCACCAGGATTACAGACAAACTATATATATATAGGCATTGTTTTTAACTCATGGAAACTTGGCAGAGGTCTCCATTTTCGAAGTGCCCTTCCAGTTTACAATTATTTTTGAGCCAACAAAGAGAAGAAGCCCGATACATGTTCAAATGATTAGAAGGTTTTAACCTCCTGAAGTCCAATGGCAACTTAGCAAGCTTCATCTGTTAATGATTATAAAAAAATTGAAAAGCATTTTGATAAAAGGGAGGCATGTGGCGCAGTGGATAGTGTGTTGGTGTTCAGGTCAGGGGAGCACAGGTTCAAACCCCGCTGCAGTCAGCATGTCGTTGTGTCCCTGGGCAAGACACTTCACCCCCAGAGATTGTTTTGCCACACTAGCTAGCGGACCACTGACTTTAATTTGTTTTAACTAAATTGTCTTCCGTGACATTTGTGACACGTTTCGTGGATGTGTCACAAATGTTGTTTGTGTGAAACTGAGTGTTGTGATTCAGATTCCTGCTTCCCCCCTCCTCTTCCATCTCCTCATTTAGTTCATTTAAATCCATGCCACAACAACATCCTGCTTTGTCACTGATTAACACATTGAATAATGCATTGTCGTGTTTTTGCTTGCTTTAGAAGTAGGTAGTGAATGTTAATGTTGACTTTTTCTTTATTTAAGTTCATAAGAAACACAGTTATATTGGAGTGCGTTGATTTGACCAGAACAAATAATTCACTTGATTTTTTTTTAGGCTTCCTTTTTGACACATTGTGGTAAATACTGTAATGACATTAAGGGTTACTTTTGTCTCTGATATCAGACAGAAACTGTTCTCACACGTCTTCTTTTTTTTAGACCTTTTCTGTTTTCTGTTTTTCCTGACTATTTTTCTCTAAAAAAACAAACCTCTGTCCTTCCTTTTCTCACCTCCATTCCAATCTTTTTCTGTTTACATCTACCAGGTTTTTACGCTGCTTGAAAGAGTCACAACATTAACGAGTGTGAGTCAGTGAGCGGCAAAGAGCCCGCCTCCTTGAGCCTCCTCCCATTTAGCGGCAAAACCCGAGTGCTTTTTGACACCCTTCCCCCCCGCCTAATGTAGACGCTGTCCTGTGCTTAGCTCAGCCAAAGCTATCTGAAACACAGCCCCCTCTTCCTCGGTCTCTGCCATTAAAGAAGTGATTCTTTTAGCAGGAAGTGACACGTCGAGATGCATTAGCAGCCGTGTGGGTTTTAAATGGAGTTTGGGAGATGTCCACTCTCATTAGCTGATGGCTTCAGTTAATGAGTTTGGTCTCAGAAAGAGCAGGATTTTCTTCTTGTTTAAAGTGTGGGAGGAGGGTCATTTCTCCTCAAAGACATCACTTCTCTTAATGGAACTGCTCCCTGTATTAGAAAAAACCCATTTCTGCAAGTGGTCATGAAGGCATCGCCCGGTGTTAACATCCATCTGTGCACAGCATTACTGTCTGCGCTGTTTTTGGTCTCAGATCTAAAGGCAGATCTGAGGGCTGCTTTATCGAGGCCTTCATGGCCACGCTGCTGATATCTGCCTCGTCTCTGCTTCTGTCTGAGGGGTTTATCACGAGGCGAGCTGGAGGCGCTGACTGTCTGCACTCTGCCTCTCTGACAGGTGCCTGAATGGACCAAATGCAGCAGCCGGGAGAAGAGGAAGGAGAAGAAAGTGGACAAGCCGTTCTACTCCGACTCAGATGCAGAGTCCGGGCCCACGGAGTCAGCGGACAGCGGTAACTTTAATAAGGGGATGAATTGGTGCCAAGGAGGCGACTAAAAATTCATTCTTATTATTGATCATTCTGCCCTTACTTTTAAAGAGGGCATATTTTGCTTATTTCCAGGTTCACATTTGTATTTAGTGTCTCTACTGTGACATGTCTCCATGCTTTAATGTTCAAAAAGCTCTTTATTGCTCTCATAATACCTGTGCTGCAGCACCTCTTTTCACCCTCTGTCTCAAACCAGAGCCCAGTCTGCTCTGATTGGTTAGCTGGTCGGCTCTGTTGTGATTGGTCAACTGGTTAGAGATGTCCCGCCCCTAAGCCACACACATACAATGTGTTGGAGTAAACAAAGTCCAATGTAGGCGTTCAGGCAGAGTGTGTGGCAAATACATAAACATATATATATTTTTATTTTTTATTTAACCAGATAAAAGCATTGAGATAAAATCTCATGTTCAATGCTGACCTGGCCAAGAAGGCAGCAACGTTACACATAACACAAACATATAAAATACAGAGAACACAACTTAGAAAACAAAAGACGAGAAAGCAGTCACTACATTGTGCACATTAGGACAGTAAGAAAGGTACACTACTTATTACTACTTATAACTCACTGCAGGAAAGAGAAAACCCCAAAAATCTATACAATGTAAAGAAACTGTGGAAAATGTCCATGATGATATATTTTAATATCCTTTTATAACCTAAAGATATTCAGTTCAATATCATATATTTTTAAAAGCGGAAATCTTTGAGATGCTGAATTCAGACATTTCTGCCATTTTCGCAGGACCAAATTCTCAAATCTGTTATCAAATTAGTTTAGGAATATTTCTCCGTTGATTAAAGGTGGGGTAGGTAATTCACTTCAGAAACACTTGTTGTTATATTCCATGGAATGCTCTTAACATCCCGATAGCAATGAATATATGAACTGCTTTGACAATAAATCCATTAAAAAATGTCATCTGGGGAAGCCGTAGTACTGTAAAAACCACGACCAATCAGTAAGTAACTGGATGGCCTACCTGCCTGTCAGCCTTCCATCTGTGCACAAACTTATCTCGTTCGTGTGTGTTGGAGGAGGGGCTCTGTAAGGAAGTCTGAAGGAAGGGGCAGATTTTTTCCGGTTGTGTATTTTCAAATTCTAGCGCACTCGAGCTGGTTTCTCCATTCTTACCTACCCTACCTTTAACTAAACAATTAATCTATTACTCTAATCCTCTTATGTTTAAAATATTCAAATTAAAACTACATCGTTCTCCCTGCAGAGTCGGACTCAGCCAGCGGCTCGGAGAGCGGCAGCGGCCTGGAGGAGAGCGGCTCGGGGTCAGAGAGCGAGGAGAGCGAGGAAGGCTCCGAGTCTGAAGAGGAGGTGGACAAGAAGAAGAAGAAAAAGATCGAATTAAAGAAGCCTGTGCAAGTGAGCGAAAGGTAGAACATGCTTCTGTCTTCCTAGTGTTTTATCCTAAACTGAAAAAAGTTAAGATTTGACTCGTTTTAGATCTTTTTATCTAAATGATTTGTCTCATCCCCTTACATAATATCTCCAGGACTCTAACGGACCTTTGCTTTCCTTTCCAGCGAGCAGAGCAGTGAAGAGGAAGTGAGGAAGCACGAGAGGAAGAATAAACAGCGTAAGAGCATCTCAGAGTCTGAATCTGATGATGAGGAGGAGAGCGAGTCTGAAAGCAGCCAATCAGAGTCTGAAGACTCGGAGTCTGAGGCGGAAATCAAAAAGAAGAAAAAGGTAAAGAAAAAACAACCTAAAATGATAAATACATTCATCATCTTTAAAACACTCATTGAAGTATGGAAGAAATACTCCTGTATTTAGACTTAGCACGTCACTTGAAAATCTGTATTTTCTTTCCTCCTCTCCCAGGCAGCTGAAACCAAACCTCCCCCTAAGCCGGTCAAGAAAGAGTGCAAGAAGGAGAAGAAGGAAATGTCTCTGCTCGACCTCGATGACTGTGAGTACTTTCTCCTCCTGTCAAATGTCTGCTCTCAAAGGGAATGTATAAGTGCTGAATTCAGGGAGGCACAGTCAGTGGACAAGTTTGTTGTAAAGTATGGAAGTGTTTCTCAAACTTACAGGATCAAGTAATGCAAGAAATAAGATTTAAAATCATTGAAAGGCTTCTTCATCATAATCACAATAATTGCAGCGTAGTTCTTGGCAATGATCCTGTCGGTTTTTCTGAGGTAAAACAGAATGTAAAATACAGATGTGTGTGCTAGGTGTATGAAATAAAAAATAGATGAATTCGTGAGGTGTAAACTTTTGTACATCCTTGTTTATAAGTCATACTCTCCTGTCTCTTTTCGCAGTTGAACCCACCCCCTCTCCTCAAGCCACGCCCCTGAACAGCTTCCTGTCCAGCAGCCTGGTGAACGACCTGGAGGGACTGTCTCTGTCCGACGCCGTGCTCTCTCCGGCGGTAAGTCCTTCATGCTTCTCTCGTCCTCCTAGGTCAGGGGTCTGCAACCTTTTTGACCAAAAGAGCCATTTTGCTCCTTTTTCCAAAACATTTTTTTGTCTGGAGCCGCAAAACATATTTCATAGCTTGATAGCTAATAAAGTTGTATTTATTGTTATATCAGACAAAAACTAGTTTTTTTGCATTTATTAGGCTATTTATTACATTATATAAAACTGTTAACCTCTAATAAGAAACAAAGAACTCCTATAAGGAGAATTAAAAAATAATACACAGGCCTACTTTAAAATGAATTAAACACAGCACTTGGGGAGTCCTCTGCACATTTGAAGGAAAGAAAAATATTATTAAAATGGGCCCACTTTGAAATAAATAAAACATATAGCTGCACCCTAAAAAGAGTTAAAGGTAGGGTAGGTAAGAATGGAGAAACCAGCTCGAGTGCGCTAGAATTTGAAAATACACAACCGGAAAAAATATGCCTCTTCCTTCAGACTTTCTTACAGAGTCCCTCCTCCAACACACACGAACGCGCACATGACCAATGAGGGCACGAGATAAGTTTGTGCACAGATGGAAGGCTGACAGGCTGACAGGCAGGTAGGCCATCCAGTTATTTTAGCCGGGCTGGCTCAGATGATTGGTCGTGCTTTTTACAGCGCTACGGCTTCCAGAGATTAATTTTTGTATGTATTTATT